TTTGAGGAGGGGGGGGGGGGTTTGTGTCATCATCCCTTCGTAGTTTTTCTTTTTTTTTTTTTTTTTTTTTTCTTTTTCTTTTGCTTCTTTTTTGGTCGCTTTTGCCTTCTTGTTTTAAGTCTTGCTCGTATATCAGAATATCGTGAGTTTTCTGTCTTTACTTCAATTGGAGAAATGGATTGGTAGGTTAATAGGTTAATTCAGACCGGGTGCGGTGCGGTGCAGTGCACTGCACTGCAGTGCGGTACAGTACAGGCAGGAATTATCGGGTGAGATTGGGATGGACTCGGGGAACCGTGGGTTGGAACTGGAACATCGTGCTACACCAAGTATCTCAGGAGGGTCGGGGCTGAGGAGGGGAAAGTTCAGGGCTGAAAAGAAAACTGGAAGGCAAGGCCCGCCCGTCGTCAAGCTGATCTTTGGTGGCGAACTTTGGGGAGCGAAGTGGAGTGGAGTCTCCCAAGTCGATCTCTTTTTTTCTTGGGTGGGTGGTGTGGGTATGTATACATATTAAACAGAATGTCAAGAGTGCCTACTGTACTGTACATAGTACTGTGAAACTTACACGGCCTGTGTTATTGCATGATGGGGGTGGTTTTGATTGAAAGTCTGGTTGTGTGTATCCGTACTCTGTAGTAGGTTAGGTGGTGGTGTGATGGGTTGGTTTGGTTGTTGTTGTGTTCATTATCTTCCACATGATTTGGTGGTGATCTATCCTATTGTACTGGGCAGCACCGCACATCTATTGAGGAACTGAAAGTACGGTAATCATGGGTCGGGGAGGGAGGGGCGGGCTGTGGCTGGTACGTAGTCCATTGAGTGAACGGGAGGAGGAAAAGAGAAGGTTGGGAACGTGCTTTAGTGTTCTCCCATCTAATCGCGTTTTCCTAGGGCTTGATTTCCGAGGGAATTCCGTTATGCGACATGCGATTTTCATGTTGCGATTGTGGTTCAATTCGGGTCCCGCCTGGGAGATGACCGGAGGTGATTACTATGTACGAGTATGTACTGTCCATGATACTGTCCAGCTTTCACAGAGGTAACTACCAAGTCCAGTAGTATAGCCATGACGTGGGATTCGAAACCGAATGCGCTAGATCGGTACTTGCGACTGGTCAGCTTCAAAGCTTATGTTCTCGCCGCCGTCATTGGGTGTTGAGATGGAAGATGGAGCCCTGCGATCGACTGCGACGGGGTTGATCAGATCTCCGCGCATTGCGTAGCGGTGGCCTGACGGTGTTTCACCTTAACTACTTGAGCAGGAGGGTGGAAGGAGGTAATCTGAGTATTCTCGACGACAGCCATTTTCGCTAGAGTATTGTTGCTTCATCGTGGTTGTTGAGATACTGATTTGGGGGTCATGTTGGCGGAGATGATAACCAGAAGTACTCCGTAGTTTTGTACTGACACGTGTGACCGGCAATCAGTGACGAGTAGGCATCCACATTGTTCCGGCAGTTTTGTGCCGCCAGACGCTGGACCTTGGTAGGCTTGGACTTTCTGGAGATGATATTCCTGAGTTTTCTTGGGACTTCAATGCAATGCAGGCGGTGTCACAGTAATCGGTGATGTTGGCGAGTGGTGAGTGCTGGCCCTGCTGGGTCACTTATCGCCGTACGGTCACTCGGCCAGTATACTACCCAATTCGGTTAGGGCGACGTCTTAGGGCTCGTCGAGGGTACGCATCGGGATTCCTCGGTTATTCTTGCTAGTAGCAAAATTAAATTAACATGGACTTGACTTGTTGCTTTCGATTGACTATTGTTGAGCCCACTTTGATGTGGAGGGTCCTTTGAAGGGGGTCCCCTGAAATCCAATCAAGAATAAGGGGGAACAGCCCCGAGAGGTTCGGAATTATGGACGTGGAAAAGATACGGAGCGGAGTTGCGAACTTGTGGCGGCGCCCGATCTGTGGCGGTGCTGCCTTTCCAATAGATCGGGACGCCGGGCATCAACTAGTCCTATTGCAGGCAGTATATGAATGGGGAGGGCAATGCAGATAAGTTAAGTCCTTTGCAACAAGAAGAAGAAGAAGAAGAAGAACAATCAGATTATCGGTGATTATAATCAGATACTCAGACACTCAAGAGAGACTCATCAGAATCCCGTACCTCGTGGAATGGTTCTTGCTCAGAGCTTCTTCGGCTGGAAGTTTGGTTAAATGTGGGGAGGCTGGAGTGGAAGAGGATCCTTCTTTTTTTTTTTTTTTTTTTT